GTGGTGTTGTTGTTTTTCCCCATTTCAAGTTTCACTCGGGAAAGTGGCGCAATGTGGTTGTGGAAAATTTGTGTTTTGTTCAGTGTAATGTCCAGTAGCAAAATGTCATCGTCTCTTGTCACAATATTGCATTTTGGAACATTTCAATGGTAAAATGTAGTGTTTAATGGGGGGAAAATGGTACTTGTATGGCAAAATGCGGCCATATATATTATATATATAATATTTTTGTTTGTTTTTTTTTTCGGAACATTTTGCATTGTATGTTCGGCATGCTGGCGGAGCAGCAGCAACTGGCCATTTTTTTCCCTCCTATTATTTATTTAGTATTTTTCCTCCAACTTCCACTCAGGAAACCGGTGCACTGTGGTTGCAGGTAAATAACCCCTCCCCCACCCCCCCTCACTCGGCGCCCCCTTCCACACACCCCAGCGCCTCTCTTCCCAGCTAGTTACTTCCGACGGTATGTTGGGAGCTGATGGGCGCTCCAGACACTTTCAAGTCTCCTTAATGTCGCCTGCTCGTCGGGCTTCACAGGCTGTTTCATGCGCTTATGGAAAACAGGCCTTTGAAATCCCTCCGCAGCCCGATCTTAATCTCATTTGTGAATCTGAGCCCGGCCGCGACAGGACCACGACCAACCTCGTCTTCCTAAAGCGCCGTTTCATTTGGCAGGAGATTTGGTTTCGAGGGGGCGGCGCGGGCCGCTTGACACGAGAGGAGTGATTTAATTGATTTTAATCACACACCTGAGATACGGCGATGGGGGGTTGGGGGGGGCGGGGCTGCCCTCCGCCATTATCGCGAAGCTTCCCGCGCGCCCGGCGTCCTCGCCTGTTTGTTTTGAGACGTCAGCGATTTGACGGATACGACTTTGATTATGAAGCGGCAAAGCGGGGCCGGAATTTCAAACGCGACCTTGGACTTCATATGCCGGCGAGGGCTGTTAAAAGACAGAGCCCGTCACCTGGACAAAAAAAAAAAAAAAAAAAAAAAAAAAAAATACAAAAAAAAAAAAAAAAAAAATAGATGGAGGTGCGATATGGATTTCCAAATGTTGCACCCTTGACAAGTTTGACTGATTGCCTCCAGCGGACCTTCCGCGGGCAATATTCAACTTTTGTAAGAGCGCCGAGATGAATTCCTCCCTTCCGCCTCCTCGGAAAGTCTGAGTGAGGCCTTCCCTCGGCGTGCCGGTAATTTGTTCGGAAAATCTCCACCCAAATGCGTCGGGTGGGGGAGGCAAGCGTACAGGACCACGTTGGTGCGAGCCATTAGTTGGGAAAACAGTTTGGTGAACGTTATAATGCAAACCAAGCCGGGGAAAAAAAGCGGTGAGAAGACAGCCCGGGGAGGGAGATTTAAATATGTAATCAACTAATATTTCATTTATTTGCCTCACATGGGAACCTGACCATTTAGCGGCGGCGCAGTCGGATCCAAACCTCTCGCTTTTAATCAGGCAGGCCGGCAATTATGCGCGGATCTGAGCTAGCACAAAAACAAAAAGTCACTTTTGTGTTGTTAAACCCCGCAGTCCGGGTTCGGCGGCAAAAAAAATAAATAAATTGGCGTCGGGATAAAAGTTTGACTTTGCTCTGCATTTTATGACGCGCGCTTGGCCTCATTCCTTCATTCAGCGCATCTCGGCGAGCTCGGCGGAAGGCGGCGTCGTGTTATTTATTTTTTTATTTATTATTATCCGACTCTTGTCGTGCGCTCCTGGTTGAATACAATGGCATTCATTCTTGATGAGCCCGCTGTCACTTTTCATTTCTGCTCGTTCGCCGAAAGTGAATGACAGTCGGCCGCCGTCATAAATATCACATGCGGCGCATTAATTTTTCAGGGAACAAGAATGGGAGGCTCCCGTTACTAATTCCTTTTCAAATGTTTAGATTTACAGCTTTTCTTGCCGGCTGCATCTTTCTCCAACTTTGTGGCAGAAATATATTTCCATCTCATTAATGAGCAATTATGGAAAAGGGGGCGGGAGAGAAGTCTGCATACTGAAGGGCGAGTACACCTCCTGTATGCACCTTCATACAATTTGCAGGCTTTTCATTCCATACTGCGTTATAACAGTTTATTACTCTTTTATTACTATGTTATTACAAAGCTTTGGTGGAGTCTAATTACGTTTTTGACTCCACTGACTTATTGACCACGTCAACAAATAGTGGTCGTTCATAACACACGTCAGTTGAGGAAAATAAGGCTCACTAAAGTGAAGGCAGGTGATCCGCAATCTCATTTGAGAATCACTTCAGATGGAGCAACCTTGGGTTATATTTCCACTTCTGCGTGTGTTTTCTCCGGGTACTCCTACATTCCAAAAACATCCATGGCAGGCTAATGGAAGCCTAAATTGTCGCTAGGTGTGATTGTCAGCGCGAACGGTCGTTCGTCTGTGAGTGCCCTACTATTGGCTGGCAACCAGTTCAGGGTGTACCCGACTACAGCCCAACCCGAGACCCTCGTGACAATAAGCGGATCGGAAAATGGATGGGTGGATGTTTCAGGGTGAATGCCGCGGTGGCGCTTGAGCGAAAACAGCAGCGCTTCCTCAATCAGGCCTTTCGCAGCCATCTTTGCACTCGCGTTGACTTTGGCCTCAACGCTGGTTTGTGCGGAGGTCCGGCATTCCCGCTCCAAAAACAGATTGGAAGCCAGGGTGGGTGGGTGGTTGGTTGGGGGGTTTGAAAAATGAGCGAGATGAAAACGTTTGGATATGCTCAAAAGAAGCCTTCTCTCAAAGGCAGCGAGCGCATCCTCAAAGAAGTTGGGGGAATCTGCTATTCTTTTTAATGTCTGCAACGCCGCGGAAGACATGAGCTACTGTACGTCCTTGTTGTGGCTCCGCCGTCATGATGTATCACACGGGTCCTGATTAGCCACCGGGTATCCCGCAATATCAAATAAACGTCATTTATTGGACCAAATAGATGCTTGTTGTGACTCTTTTAAAGAGCGGTGGGGAGAAGGATGTGCAAGTGACAGCTTGTTAGCCGCTAATTCAATTTATGGTGTCTGCTTTCATTTAAATAACATCACCTGCGCCGGATGGCGTGAAACTCATGATGTTATCGGAGTTTAAAAACAAACGCATTCGTTGCGGGGTAAAATTCCCGCTGTTATTCTTATCCCGTGACATTCATTTGAGCCATAATGGCGGGCGAGGTAAGGTAAGAAAAAGAAAAAAAAAAAAAAACCTCTACATTTGGAATAATTCACAGACATGAGAGGTGGTAGACAATAGGCAGCAAATCAGCGGCAATCCAATTTCCATGCCACCTCGTCTGGGAGCAAAATGTCATTCATATTTTAACCCTTATTAGGAGCGTCTGCCGCTGAGTGCCTGAATTACATTTGCAGGCTTTTCGCTCGTCATGAAAGACAAAATCAGCCTAAAAGATGGCAATTGACAGAGGGGAGTAAAATATATATAGGAATCCACCGCACACGTACACGCACACACCTTTTCTTTTCGGCCTTTTTAATGAGCTAAAATAGCCACTTCTTGCCATTTCCCCTGCCTTAATTGATGATTATGTTGTTACACGGGAGCAGCGCTTGGCGCTCTCCTCCCAGTCATTATGATGTGGACGGGCAACTCTTGAAGCTTCAAAGGCGGCAAGGAGCGATTTAAGCACGGGGTTCAAGCATCCCCTTGGCCTGCCAGGTTAAAAAAAAAAAAAAAAAAAGAATGGCAAAAAAGAAACAACAACATCTAAACATTACATGCTAATCGCTAATTAGCCCCGTGGCTGAATTGCAGACGATTCCCATTTGGAGATGACCGGCGCTACGGTCGCGCTTAAGGGCATGTCGTACGTCTTATGATGAGCCAATTAGAAATTCAGCTGCAGGAGCGTAAAAGGAAGAAACCTTTGTCATGAATATTTAAAAAGACAGGCGCCGACCAGCATGAAGGGGGCGCTGAACTGCGTGTCCTGTGGGAGGGGGAAAAAAGTACGAGGGTGGTGGGGGGGCTGGTGGGGGTTTGTGATCTGGCAAAGTAACCCCCAATCGATAGTCTCTTGATGTGCTCTGTATTAGCGGGAAGATGGCGGTTGTTGTTGGACTGGTAGTGTTGCGGTGGATATGGCGGCGCAAGGTGACGGGCGGTCGTGCCCCCCCCACCCACTTTGTGGTTCATATGAAATCAAATATGTTGAAAGTATGCGATCTGACGGTGGAACTTATAGCATCCCAGACTCGTTGGCCCCTTTCACTCTGGCCGTCTTTTCCGCTGCTTTTTCCTGGCTGGCCGTCATACGCGTTAAACTTTCAATACTGTTCAGGTTGAATCTGAAAGCAATAAAAAAAGACTGTAAAATGAGATTTGTGACCAAAAATTGATCTGACCTGGGACCAACCCAGCCCACCACTAGGCAAAATTTGCACATAATTGACACCCACTGAAAAACGCTACATGCTAAGAAACCTCGATTTATTAACAACGGCAGCTGAGAACGTCCCTGGAGTCAACAAGATTGTTTTTGCTGTTATGTTTCATTTTGCGGATAATAATAAATAAGAAAAAGAAAAAGAGGCGAGCCTTTTTTTGGGCTTAATTATCGTGGACATGGTGCCGCAACTTCTGTTATGGCCAAATGGGGGCACTGTAGTACAGACATACGTGTAGAAGAAGGTGACAATTGTTCAGTAAGTCACATTGAGTGATGTTTGCTGCAGAGGATAGAGAATATATGCCTGTGAGTGTTGTTATATTATCGGCCCTTGTATGTGTGTTCAACCGTCCGGAATCGTGCTATTGGTTAGCCCGACGTTGTTAGCATTAAGCTAAATGGACTTGGCAAAGCCACGGCGCTCGTTGAAAATACACGATGTCGGCTCACGCGGGACAAGCGCTCTAGACAATGCACGGAATGTCACTTTTGTCGGGCCAGATGAAATCGCAAAGGCTCGAACGTGGCCAACGGCGGTCACGTCTTCGCCGTCGCCGACCTGTATAATTAGCCTCGTGTCCCTCGCAGGGTGTCAGCATGACCGCAGCCTGCCCAGTCAACACATGTCGGGGAGATCGTGGAGCGCCGATCAAAAGTGCGCGCGAAGGTCAGTAAAAAGTTGCCAAATGATATTATTCTTCCAGTCGTATATTCGTTTCTTTCCCCCAAAACGCGCGTACGCACACTCGTGTAAACACAAGCTACTCTGTGTTTCCTAAGCCGAAATACTGTTCAGGTTGAATCTGAAAGCAATAAAAAGACTGTAAAATGAGATTTGTGACCAAAAATATTGATCCGACCAGAGTTTTGGAACTGATCACGGATCAGCGAGTTAGAAAACAAACAAAATCAGAAGATGGACCAATCAACTAAGTCTATATTAACAATTTGCCAAATGATATTCTTCTTCCAGTCATATATTCACTTCTTTCCCCCAAAACGCGCGTACGCACACACGTGTAAACACAAGCTACTCTGTGTTTCCTAAGCCGCAATGACGCCCGCGTTCCAGGCCGGGAGTGTGATGTGCTTAATTGGTGTTTTTAAATGCGGCGACACCTAAAATTGATTCTTTTGTTTTTTCAACAGCACCGCACGCCGTTTCTGGTGTGATTATCGCGGGAGGAGTACGTGACGAGTGCTTTAAACTTCAGCCGGCTCTCACCTCACGGCGTGCGCTGAGCTGCAAAGTCACGCAAGATGCTGGGAAAAAAAAACCCCGCCGCCGCTTCCCGACACCTTCGTCAAGTGAGCAGGTAAACATGTTTTTTTTTTTTTAATGCCTGGGAGGCGAGATCAATTATTATTCATCTTTTTTTTTTTTTTTTTTTTTTTTTGCATTTGGTGCTTTTATTGCGTGTTAAATCACATTTGCATGCTGCTAATACAGTGGAAGCCCCCAGAGGCCAACGCCCGTCGGGTGTTGGCGTTTGGCCAACATTTTGAAGAAAAAAACTGAAGATTTAGAAAAAAAGTCAGTTCAGCGAGCGTTAAAGAAGTAAATTAGCACGTTTTGCTTTTTTTCTTTGCCTTTTTTGGTGACACATGTTCCAATTGAGCTACTGTCTCTCTCCACACGCCATTTTGATTACAAGGCTCGTTTTGAACCTGGGGCGGAGCCGCAGTGGAGCGCAGGCTTTTTTCCAAAGAAAGCGGGTTTTGCTTGCAAGACTCGCTTAACAGTGGTTAACTTCTTTTTACACTTGTGCGAGAAGGAAACATTTGGGGGGGAGGGGTGACATCATGAGGCCTCTTTTAAACAAATGCAGCACTTCTTTTTACACCTGTAAGACAGTTCAGAATGCTAGCTAAACATGGCCGACAAAGTTAATCATGGTTTTACGAAGGCGACAGTTTGACTTGGGAGCATCCATCCGTGAGCATTCATACATTTTATTATCTCGAATTTGCCTTCTGGTTTATTAAAACTTCTGTTCAAAGAGGTTGATTTATTATTATTTTTCTTCTTTTTTCCTCAATGCGATTGGCTCGTTCCACTGCGCAGGCGTCCCTCACGTCGCGGCTGTACGATCCCTCCATTGAGTAGCTCAGTAGCAGAGAACACGGCAACACCTCTTCACCCCGCCGCGTATCACTCCAAGGCAAATTGTTTTCACGTTGGACCCCACAACCGCAACTAAAGACCCACCTGCTCATCCAATAACAGCAAATCAAATCGCATAGGCTTCCCTTTCTCGGTTTCAAAGGGACATGCTCTAAGTTGATTCTTTTCATTTAATTCCAGCAAAGGGATCG